TCTCACCCACCTCCAAGGAAAGCAATTTTGGTCTCAATTACTTACAAAATTGCCTTGACTTTGTCCACAGGAACATAAAACAGTAGTAAGAATAACTGCTAGCCATGTCATGTTAGTCATTTCAGGCTGCTCAGGTTAAAAATTGATCTACCCTTGTCATTGCCATTTTATTTTATTTTATTTTATTAGAGAGATGTGGAGTACACGTGAGGATTAACTACATAAGTAGGCTGCATGTAGGTGAAGTTTAGGCTTTTAACTGGCCCTCAATCCGCCTGGTAGTAGATCAGGTATCCTTTGTGTTGTCACGTGCCCGCTGCCCCCTACACTCCTTTCCTCCCCTAGCAGTGTCCAATGACTGCCAATCCCTCCCTCCCTTGTGTTAATGAGACTAATATTCAGGGCCCACTTATGAGTGAGAACATATGGTGTTTAGTTCTTTGTTTCTGTGATAGTTCACTTAGTATTATGAGCTCCAACTGCATCCATGTTGCTTTGAAGGCCATGATTTTGTTCTTCTTTATGGCTGTGTGATATTCCATCACGTATATGTACCACATTTTCATTATTCAGTCCACTTTTGACGGGTAGTAGGGCTGGTTCCATGTTTTTGCTATTTTGAATAATGCAGCAATAAACGTGTGTGCAGGTGTCTCTTTATAGAATGATTTATGTTCCTCTGGGTATATTTTCAGGAGAGGGATGCTGGATCATATGGAAGATCAATTTTTAGTTCTTTTAGGAATCACCACACTGCTTTTCATAGAGGTTGAATGAGCCTGCACTCCCACCAGCAGTGTAGAAGTGTTCCCTTTTCTCCACATCTGTGCCAGCATCTGTTGTTTTTTGACTTATTAATGATAGCCATCCTAACCAGAGTTAGGTGGTATCTCATTATGCTTTTGATTTGCATTTCTTTGATGATTAGAGAGACTGAGCATTTTTTCATGTGTTTGTTGACTGCTTGTAGGTTATCTTTTGAGAAGTGTCTGTTCATGTCCTTTGCCCACTTTTTTAACTGGTGTGTGCAATGTGTGTGTGTGTGTGTGTGTGTGTGTGTGTGTGTGTGCGCGCACGCGCGCGCACACGTTTGGTGTTTTAATCTTTTTTTTAATTTATTTTTTATTTTAAAGATATAGGGTCCAATTCAGGGTTAGGTATACAAATGTTCATTATGCAAGTACCTTGTTGATGAAGTGTGCCCCCCCTCCCACCGGCAGTTTCCCACTACTGCCAATCCTTTTCTTATAGTATTACAATAATAATTCAAGGTCCGCTTTTGAGTGAGAAACATGTTCTTTGTTTCTGTGATTGATCACTCAGTATTATAGACTCTAAGTCCATACAAGTTGCTGTGAAGTTCATAACTTTGTCCTTTTTTATGGCTGTGTAATATTCCATCATGTATATGTACCACATTAAAAAAAAGTCTGGTTCTCTTTCCATGGGCAGCACAGTTGGTTCCATGTTTTTGCTATTGTGTATAATGCTGCAATAAACATGCATGTGCAGGTATCTTTTTCATGGAGTGATCTGAGTTCCTCCGGGTATATTCCCAGAAGGGGGATAGCTAGGTCATATGGAAGGTTGATTTTTAGATCTTTTAGTAATTGCTAAACTGTTTTCCACAGAGGTTGTACTAATTTACACTCCCAACAACAATGTAGAAGTGTTTCCTTTTCCCACATCCTCTCCAGCATCTGTTGTTTTTTGAGTTATTGATAATGGCCATCCTGATTGGAGTTAGGTGGTCTCAGTGTGGTTTTAATTTGCATCTCTTTGATGACTAGTGAGGCTGAACATTTTTTCATGTGTCTGTTGGCTGCTCATGTGTCTTCTTTTGAGAAGTGTCTATTCATATCTTTTGACCACTTTATAATGGGGTTGGTTTTGGTTTTTGTTTTTGTTTTCTTTTTGGCACTTTGAGTTCTTTATAGATCCTAGATGAACATAGATGCTAAACTTCTCAACAGCATTCTAGCAAACCGGATCCAGCAACACATCTCAAAAATCATCCACCATAACCAGGTAGGCTTCATCTCTGGGATGCAGGTCTGGTTCAACATCCACAGGACCATAAACATAATTAAATACATCAACAGATGTGAAAACAAAAACCACATGATTATATCATTAGACATAGAGAAAACTTTCAATAAAATACAGCACCTCTTCTTGATTAAAAACCCTCGAAAATCTAGGCATAGATGGAACATACCTCAAAATAGTAAGAGCCATCTGCGAGAAACCCACAGCCAACATACTGCTAAACAGACAGAAATTGGAACCATTTCCCCTGAAAACTGGAGCAAGACAAGGATGCCCACTCTCACCCCTCCTGTTCAACATAGTTTTGAACATCCTAGCTGGAGCAATCAGACAAGAGAAGATCAGGGGTATCCAAATAGGAAAAAAGGAAGTCAAATGATCCCTGTTTGTGTTTTTTTTTTCCTTTCACTTCATTTGAGTTCCTTGTAGATCCTGGATATTAGGCCTTTATCAGATGCATGATTTGCAGGTATTTTTTTACCTATTCTGTGGGTTGTCTCTTTATTCTCTTGATGGTTTCTTTTGCTGTTTGAGAGCTTTTCAGTTTGATGAAGTCCCACTTGTCTATCTTAGCTTTTATGGTGTTCACTTTTGGGGGCTTGGTCAAGAATTGGTTGCCTACTCTGATGTGCATGAGAGTGTTTCCTGCATTTTCTTCTAGGATTCTTATAGTTTGAGGTTTTACATTTAGGTCTTTGATTCATTTTGAGTTGATTTTTGTATGTGATGATAGGTAAGGATCCAGTTTCATTCTTCTGCATGTGGTCAGCCTGTTTTTCCAGTACCATTTGCTAAATATGGTCTCCTTTCGCCAGTGATTGTTATTAGTGACTTTGTCGAAAATGAGTTGGTTGAGAGATCATGTTTTTGTTTCTAGAATCTCTGTCCTGTTCCATCTGTGGATGTGCCTATTCTGTACCAATACCAGGCTGTTTTAGTTATTATAGCCTTGTAATAAAGTTTAAAGTCTAGAAGTGTGATATCTCCCACTTTATTCCTTTTTATGAGGATTATTTTGGGTATGTATGCTCTTATTTGTTTCCATATGAATTTCTGTATTGTTGTCTCCAGGTCTGAGAAAAATGATGTTGTTAATTTGTTGGGTATTGCATTGAGTCTGTAGGTTGCCTTGAGTAGGATGGACATCTTGACAATATTGATTCTTCCAGTCCATGAGCATGGAATATTTCTCCATTTGTTTATGTTATCCTTGATTTCTTTGAGCAGTATTTTGTAGTTCTCAGTGTAAAGATCTTTCACTTCTCTGGTTAGGTGGATGCCAAGGTATTTCATTTTTTTGTGTGGCTATTGTGAATAGGATTGTGCTTGTACATAGCTGTAAAATAAAGCCTTAGAGGGTTTATTATAGAACACAGGAGACTAAATAGGACATGTTAGAAAGCGTTAGTAGGATTCTTGCAATACTTATTGACTTCATATTTGTCATCATGCAAAAAATTAGACCTTTCAAAATGCATACTCTTTGGTATGCTAATCAGAAATATAACTTCTATTTGACCCCAAATTCTAAAGCCAACGTTAGTTTTGAAAGTGGGTCATAGTGTGGTGTTGTGGAAAGAGCACTGGACTGAAAGCCATAAGTCCTGGTTGTCATTTCAATTCTGCCTCTCTCTGGTTGTGTGGTGTTGGCACGTCTCATGAAAAACAATTCCAGCCCTGACATCTAACATTTAGTGGGTGCTTACCTTATACCAGGTGCCATTCCAGGGACTGGGCATATATTAACTCATTTAACTTCATAATGACCCCCAGAAGCTATCTTATTTCACAGCTAAGGAAAGAGAAACAGAAATGTAACTCATCCCACATGATACTGCTAATAAGAAGTGGGACTTTAGCTTCAGTTTCCCATTTGTGAAAATGAACCAGATCATTGACAAGGTCCCATCTACCTCTGAATTTTTATGTCATAAAACAAAGAAAATCAAAATGAAATAAAAATGGAAGATACTCAATAAAAGGAGACCTACTTCTTTAGAAAATTTCTTTCTCTTTTTTTAATTTCATTTTATTTTAAAGTTTGGTGTACAAGTCAGGATTGCATACATAAGTGGTTTAGGTACAGGTGAAGTTTGGGGCCTCCCATTGGACCTCACTTCACCTGGATAAGGATCAGGCACCCTTATTGGTGTTATATGCCCTACCCCCTCTCCCGGTAGTGTCCTGCTACTAATAATCCCTTTTTTTGTAGTATTATGATAGGTGTTTAGAGTCTACTTATGAGTGAGAATATGTGGTACCCAGATCTTTGCTTCTATAATAGATCACTGAGTAGGATAGACTCCAAATCCATCCAAGTTGCTGCAAAGTCCATAATTATGTCTTTCTTTGTGACTGTGTAATATTCCATCATGTATATGTAGAAGTTTGTTTTCTAAAACGTGTCTTACAGTTCATCATTTCTCATGCCCAAACCTTTATTAATAAGAATAAAAACCACAGTTCTCAGTTGGTTTTGAATACATTTGAGTTGAACAGAAAGGAAAAGGCTCCAGAAGAGAACCATGGCGTAATACCACGACAGTAGACTTTTCCTTACCTCCTTTAAAGGTGGTGCTTCTAGTGTATTTTTACTTACACTCAAACCAGAATATAATTTGTCTTATATCTTAAAAGTATTCTCATTGACCCCCTGAGACCATCAAAGAACTGCATAATCAAATGATTCATTTTAACCAAAAATTAGTAACAGTTTTAGATAAACCACTTGGTTTCTGAGTCTTAGAAGTCCAGCTATATTTGATCTCATAAATATATACTTGGGACTCTCTCATTACAGGAAAATAGATCATACAAAAGTCAAACTGATGAGGTCAGAGCTGGGCTGCACTTCAGTAATACTATTGTCTTCTGGGCAATATCCACAGCAGGTTTGGGTTAAATCTCTGGTACAATTCATTAAGAATGATAGAGAGGGCCCTTTTCACAAGATGGTGCTGAAGGCCAAGAAGGAATCGCCTAGCACATGTCCTGCTCATGCCCCTCTTAAAGCCGAAGCCAAAGCAAAGGCATTGAAGGCCAAGAAAGCAGTGCTGAAAGGTGTCCACAGTCACACACATACAAAAAGAAGATCCTCACATCATCCACTTTCTGGAGGTCCAAGACTCTGCAGCTACGGAGGCAGCCCAAATATCCTCAGAAGAGCTCCCAGGAGAAACAAACTTGACCGCTATGCCATCATCAAGTTTCCCTTGACCACTGAGTCTGCCATGAAGAAAATAGAAGACAACAACACACTTGTGTTCATCGTAGATGTTAAAGTCAACAAGCACCAGATAAAACAGGCTGTGAAGAAGCTCTATGACATTGATGTTGCCAAGGTCAACACCCTGATTAGGCCTGATGGAGAGAAGAAGGCATATGTTCGACTGGCTCCTGATTATGATGCTTTGGATGTTGCCAACAAAATTGGAATCTTTTAAACAGAGTCCAGCTGGATAATTCTAAATATATATCTTTTCACCATAAAAAAAGAATGATAGAGAATAGGATACTTCCTTCAAACTGGAAGTAAAACTAAGTGATACAACTACTATAAAGACATTTTTTTCCTCCTTTGAAGAGTAGGATATTTTATGTTGCTTTATCTCTGAAGATCACACTGGTCTTACTTTCCACGTTTTCTGATGTTGAATGATCACCTGATTATTCAGGACTTAGTAATATGAGAGGATTTCAAAAAGTTTGCAGAATAATGGAATTAAAAGATTAAAAACATATAAATCATTCTACAAAAAAAGACACCTGGACATGCATGTTTACTACCGCACTATTCACAATAGCAAAAACACAGAACCAATCCTTTTGCCCATCAAAAGTTGGCTGGATAAAGAATATGTGGTACATATACACAATGGAATATCACACAGCCATGAAGAAGAACAAAATCATTGCCTTCACAGCAACATGGATGCAGTTGGAGACCATCATACTAAGTAAACTATCACAGAAACAAAGAACTAAATACAGGGTGTTCTCGCTCATAAGTGGGCCCTGAACACTAGTCACATTAGCACAAGGATAGGATCAGCAGTTGCTGGGCACTGCTATGAGAGAGAGAGGAAGGAGAATGAGGGGCACATGACAACACAACGAGTACCTGGTCCACTACCAGGGAGAGTGAGGGCTAGCTAGGAGACTAAACTTCAGTCTGTTTATGCAGTTAATCCTCACTTGTACCCCACAACTCTAAAACAAATAGATAACTTGTTTTAAAAAGATAAAAATAAAATATATAAACTTTACTTCTCAAAATAAGCTTCATCAAGTTCAAGACACTTTTGTAAGCAGTGATATCAGCCATTTAGTCTACCCCTACAGAATTGAGGGCCTTCAGAATTTCACCACACCAATACAGTCTTTTTTACAGTATTATCTGAAGAAATATGGGCGCCCTTTAAAGATTGTGTAAGATTGGGAAACAAAAAGAAACCGGAAGAAGCCAAATCAGGACTGTAAGATAGATGCCTAATGATTTCCCAACAAAACTCTTGCAACGTTGCCCTTGTTTGATGAGAGAAGTGAGCAGGAGCATTGTCGTGATGGAGAAGGACTCTCCAGGGAAGCTTTCCTGAGTATTTTTCTGCTAAAGCTTCGGGTAACTTTCTCAAAACATTCTCATAATAAGTAGATGTTATTGTTCTTTCACCCTTTAAAAAGGCAACAAGCAAAATGCCTTGAACATAAAAAACAAACAAACAAAAAAACCCAAAAAACAAACTGTTGCAGTGACCTTTTCCTGTTTCTGCTTTGGTTGGACCACTTCTACCTCTTGGTAGCCATTGCCTTTATTGTGCCTTGTCATCAGGATTATGTTGGTAAAGCCATGTTTCATCAGTAACAATTCTTCAAAGAAGTGCCTCAAGATCTTGATCCCATTTACTTAAAATTTCCATTGAAAGTTCTGCTCTTTTCTGCAGCTAATCTGAGCACAACAGTTTGGACACCCCTGAGTGGCAAACTTGCTCAACTTAAACGTTTCAGTCAGAATTGTGTCAGCTGAACCAGCTGAGATGTCTACAGTGTTAGCTATTGTTTTTGCTGTTAATCATCAGTCCTCTTCAATTAGAACACAAGCAAAATTAATTCTTTTCCTTGAAAATTGATGTGGATGGTCTGCTACGGCAGGCTTCATCTTCAACATTGCCTTGCTCTTTATTAAAACTGCTGATTTCTTTGGGGCATTGTCCCCACAAACTTTTCATAAAAGCATCAGTGATTGCACAATTCTTCCACTCCAGCTTCACCATAAATTTGATGTTTGTTCTTGCTTCAATTTTAGCAGAATTAATGTTGCTCTGATAGGGGTTCTTTTCAAACTGATCTCTTATCCTTCTTAGTTCCTCAAATTCAATCCTATGCAGACATCTCTAAACAAGTTAGTACGAGTTTATTTCAATGCCCTCAAATTTTGAAACCCATGCATAGTTTTTTCATAATACCCATTTTACATGAACTTTTTGAAGACCCCTCGTATTAGGCTTTGGACAGCTGTTCTGCATGAATTCCAGCATCACATTTGCAAGACACACATGCTGTAATTACTGTCCCTACCCATGTCATCCAAAAGAAACCAAGTGAACATTTTGGTATTCTTTTTAAAATTGTAAAAATGTTGCTTTGAAAGATGCTTTAGAAAGCAGATGTGGTTTGAATAAATAATATGTAAAACCAAATGTAACAACTTTGCTAAAATCTTCAGTTTCTTTTTTCTGTGATTATAAAACCAAATTAAGAAAAGGGCTTATGGATGTAACAAAATGTTTAACTTATTTTTTTTAAAAAATCTTTCTACAACTAGAGGTATCAGTTATAGTACTTATATATTTGTCTACCTGTTTATTGTTTGCTTCCCTCATTATAACAAAGCACTCTTAGAGCAGGAATTTTCTCTTATTCTTTGCTCTGTCTCGTGGTGCTCACACATGGTAGGCACTAGGTAAACCTTTGTTGAATGAAAGAACAAAGTCCATTTTTACGTGTAAACCAATCACACTCAAATATTTCCGTTAGACTTATGTTGTATTGCTAATTCCTGATATATTCAGGAATATATTCATTTTAGATGCAATCATCTAAGATGTTTTGTGATGTTAATGGAACCCAGTAACAAACAAGGGAATTTTATTTTTGTAATATGAAGACTATTTAACACCAACAAAATACTACTAAGTATTCTTTTTCTGTTTGGCAAAGATAACTGTATCTAGGAAATATATGATTATGAACATATTGTGTTTCTCAAATAAGTTCCCAGGGACATAAATTCTTGTCCATGGCATCCAAGCAGTACAATGCATTTGACAAAAGAAGGAAACACTCAAATTAACATACATCATAAATCTGTCATGTAGGAAATTTATGGTGTACTTTGTTAAACCAAGAACAAAATTTAAAAGATGTGTTTTCTTCATTTCCACACCATACAAATTTCACACCACACAAAAATCACCACATGTTTACAGGATCAGTAAAGTGGAAAATGTGGGGCCAAGCATGAGCTAGGATTAGACTCCTGGGTTTTATCCTCTTGGTTACAGTCTAGAATATATCGATATGTTATACTGAAATAGTCAATTATCTGTCTAAAGAAGGGCAAAGTACTCCACTGTTCTCAAATTGGCCATGGGGAATCTCAGAGCTGACACATACAATAGAATTTAGGTTAAAATGACTTAAAAGGAAATTTCCTTTCCAAATCTGCTGTAAGATATGATTCAAAGTTTGGATGGAAATTATTTCTACAAGATTATATAGGTGTCTTGTTTGGGGTATCCCTTGAGGTGAGTAGGTGAGTGCTAGTAGGCTATTTAGAAGGTGATCCCAGGAAACACTGACAGGAAAACAGGAAGGTGAGGAATCAATACAGGGCAAATTATCAAAGAAGTTTCCATTGTGGACACCTGGAACTCAGTCCCACTGGGGAACTTTGGGAGTCTATGCAGAATCATCTCAACCAATGGGCATGGTGGTTGGGATATTTAATCACAAAATCTGGTTTAGGGCCGACCACCATTGGTTTAGGGCTGCCCTCAGATGAAGAGTTTCAAGTGTTCAAGGTAAGCACTTGGCAATTAGTGGAGATGCCAAAAACATATGGATGAGGATACATGAATATGTCACACTGAAATGACACTGATAGCATCTGCTATGACAGTTTTAAAAGTCAATATATATATATATATATATATATAAAACTGTGTCTTTCAGTTCTTCAGTACACCTCATTTTCCTGATAAACGTCAACTGGGGTGTCAGGAAGAACACTGATCGGGTGCCCTCTTTCTATCCCCATTTCCATATCTTACTGCCTTTAACACTTTAAGGCCAACTCCAGGCTGGAGCTAGGAATTCTCTGTATCTATTTTCTTATCTGTAAAATGAGAGACCTGGACCACATGATCTCAAACTTTTTTTTTTTTTTTTACCTCTTAAAATTCTATGTTTGACGCAAATTCTACGTTTGACCACTTCCTTTCTTTACTTGAATGGTCCGTGCAGGCTGGCCAGCCTATGCAAAAAAGTAAGTGGTGGAATGGAACAGTGTTTTAGTCAGGATTTCTCTGGATACAGGAAACAGAAATTCATTCCAACTAACTCAAGTTCAGAGGAAGTGTATTAAAATGATTCTAGGACTTTTAGAGAGGGAGAGAGAGAGGGCAGCAAGTAGATCCAGGCCTTAATGGAAAAGAAGAATCATTAAACTAAGTTGAAATCAAGATAGAGAGATAGTGATAGCTAAAGATATAGCGATAGAGAAATGGAGAAAGTTACAGATATAAATATATAGATGTATTTATAGTTATAGCAATAAAGATACAATTATAGATAGGTATAGATGCAGTGATAGCGATATAGGGAGAGAGATAACTAAGACATAGTTACAGGGACAGAGCTATAATTATACATATAGTGGTATAGAGATAAAGTTATAGACATGTAGAAAGATACAGATATAGTGATAGAAATGCAGAAAGAGATATAGTTAGGAATATAAAGATATAGTTATAGAGAAAAATAATTATGCATATATGCATAGATATAGCGATAGTGACAGAGATGCATAGATATAGACAGAAACGGATATAGTTATAGTCAAGGTATAGAGATATAATTACAGTCATGGAGTTATAGATATCTAGGTATACAGAGATATTTATGTATATAGATGCATATGTACATCTAGATATAAATATATCTGGGGTCACCCAGTTTCTGAGTATTCCTTTTTGACTCATCAGCCTTTCTCCTCCTGCTCCCACATCAGTCCTTTGCTCTAACTTTAGCTTGGATATGCCTTTGATTTGTCCCATCACAACTCTCCAGCTCTCATCACTGACTGACAACAGTTCTTAGTGTCCCAGTTCCACATTCCTGGAGAAGAATAACATGAATTTTATATCCACCCTGGTTCAATCAGCTGTGGTCTAGGGCAGGTGAGTCATAAGATACACACCACTGTTTAAGCCCACCACTT